AGTTCACGGATTTGAGAGCTGAGTACTAGCCTCCCCAAGGGAGAAGTTTTTCTTAACAGTGAACTTCTCAGAGGAAAAGAGGATCATTCCCAGAGCACTGCTTGACAGCTGAAGGACTGAACTTGCTATGAACAGATCTGGACCTTTCTAACCTTCTAAGATATTGCAGCCTAGATCTAGGGTCTTAAAGTTACAGAGGACATGAAGAGGTTGTTTCTGTAAGGACTTGTGGGTCCTCTGAGATTTATGCATTTTTTATGGTTAATATGACAAAAGCTATCCCATATCTGATACTCATATTGTATACTGAGTGCTTTTGTGAGAAAAAAAGATCTGATTATTCACATTTGGGGTGACCTAAACCTAGGCCATACTTAAGTATTATTCATATTTCCTCAGAGTTTCATTCTGAACAAGACATAAAACAAAAACAAAAGCTGAATCCCCAGTATTGAATGTGATCCACATGAGCTCTCAAAGTCTTTGGACAGGTAGGCCACAGGCATCGCTCAGATCATTGAGAGTTAGTTTCCTTTAAAAAAATCAATTTCTACTTATTTCTCTGTCTTTTTACAATTTTTTTTAAATTTTATTTTCCTAATTATCATATATTCTGCAGTTAGAGTGTAACTATTTGAGAAGGGCCATATCTATTTAGTGTCTTGTTTCTACCTCAAAATACCTAGTCCATTGCTTTCTTTTATGGTTAAATGCCTTATTTAAAATTGAATTTGAGCATCAGTGCAAATTTACCTTACTTGGTAATAATTTGTATTTAAATGAAATTATTTTAATGCTTACAGAATCATAACTTTTCAGTAACTTCTTCTAAATCCCCATCAGGATTATTGTTTGTCCATTCATTCTCATTCACTTTTCCCCTTACACAGTTACAATTACTTTGCTCTCTTCTCTTCTGGTTCTGTTTTTTCCCATCTAAAGTATTTCATAAAGATCTTTCCATAATTATTTATGTTCTTGGTATTTGTTGGCATCCACCTACTAGAAATTTCAAACTAGATATTCCATAGACATCTCAAGCTAAACATGCCTTAAAAAGAACTCATTATCTTTCCCCTCAAACCAAACCCTCTCTACAATTTCCCTGTGTCATTTTAGGGTGCCACCATCTTTCCATTGCCCCAGGTTTGAAACTTAAACCTTGTCCTCACTCACCCTAACCCTAAACACAGTTGCCAAATCTCACCATTTCTATCTTCATAACATTTCTCCTATCCATTCTCTCCTGACTACTCATATATCCACCACCTTAGTTCATGCCTTCATCACTTTTACCCTGGACTATTGGAAACATCTAATTATTTTCCCTGCCTCAAGACTCCCCCATTCCAATTCATTCTCTATAGAGCTGTCAAAAAATGATTTTCCCTAAGTAAAGGTAGAAACATAAATAAACTTCATCAATAAATAGCAATCAACTTCAGTGACTACACATATTGCCTCTAGAATGAACTACAAAGTGCTGTTTGGCTTTAACTGTCCTTCACAACTTGGCCCCAACATATCCAAAGACATGAGTTCAAATTTAGCCTCAGACACTTATAAATATGTGACCCTGGACAAGTCACTTAACCTATATCTGCCTCAGTTTTCCCATCTACTGATGAGAAGGTAGAACTCAATGACCTCCAAGGTTCCTTCTAGTTCTAAATCTGGATTTCTCTTTGTGCTTCACGCAGAGCACTCCATATCCCATCTCTTCATCTTTGTCCATGGTTGGAATGTATTCTCTTCTCACAGAATTCCTCTTTACCTTCACAACTCAATTCAAGGCTTATCTTCTTCACAAAATCTTTTCTGATTTCCCCCAACTCTTAGTGCCTTTTCTCCTTAAATATCTTGTAAGAGGTGATTCAAAAGCTCATTGTAGTTTTAAGCTTTAATAACTTCAGAGCTATAAAGGCTACACACTTACAAAAGAATCATTTAAAAGTTTAATTATTTAAATTGCTTTTACACTTAATAAGTCTTGTGAATTTTGAAGAATAAGATTTTAATTTTAATGAGATAGAACATGCTATCATTGCATTGCACATGAGACAGTTTCAGGATCACACCTTCTCACACAGGTGGCTCTTTTGAGGGAATCCTTTTGCTTGGCTACGTTGGTCACCTCATTTAAGTCAGCTACACTCTTTCTTGTGGGGCTACATCAAACTGTCATGTATGCACCCAAACTTCATTCTTGGGAAGACCTCAAGGCTAGAATTGTAAATGCAATCCTTTCATTCACTGAGCTATAGCTAATGAAAGTTTTTACAAGATTGGAAAATTGACTAGAGTGATGAGTGATGAGCACAAGATGATGGTGATGAGGAACTTTAATAAACATCAATGTTATAAAAAGTGAAATATTTTGTAAGTTTGTAGCATTTATACTTCTGAGGCATTGGAGCTTGAAAACTGCACTAAGACTTTTGAGACACTTAGTATTAAATACTTTTTATTCTGTATATACTTAGATATGTACAGAGTGTTTCCTCCAACTGAATTAACTTCTTAGGGGACGGAGCAGGGGCTGTTTTATTTTTTTGTTCTCATATCGCTGGTGCCTAGCACATAATAGGTGCTTTATAATAAATGTTTGAATGATTGATTGATTAATGATCCATTAACATTCCGTGATCATTTAGCTATCCCCTTACTGTTGAATATTTAGGTCATTTTCTTTCTTTTTGTTTTGGAGGGGATTTTTGACAGTTATATATAATGTCACTATGAAAACTTTGAACATAAAGGACTTTCTTGTGTGGTCATGTAAAACTCTTGTGAATGCCTAAAAACCTTGTTCTTTGATCTTAAGGTGAAGATTACAAACACAATCCTTTTATTTTATATTCCCAATAATGGAATTACTGGGTGAAAAAGTATGATTATCTTAGTAACTTTTACTGCATATTACACTGCTTTATGCTCAATAAATATTGCTGTGTATTGCCAATAAACTTGAAAAAATGTTATATATACAGAAAGTAGACTTTTGAATCAGTAGTTGTTGATGATCTCTATGTCACCTTTTTCGGTATTAATAAGATCTGAGATTTTTTTTCCATGTCTTCTTTATACACTTTGTGAATCAATCTCCCAATGATACTGTAACTGTGTAACTTCCAGCAAGGATGCTGGAACAACGAACACAACATATATTAACAATATGAGGTTTGCTATGATGACTGCAGGAAGAGTGTGGAATCTAGGTCTGAAGTGAACATGTAGTGAATGGAGTGGCAGAAGCCAAATAGCCACCCTATGCACACTTAGCCTAATCAGGTTATTTCCCCCATCTTTGTATTCTTTAGTATCATTTCTACCTCCTCTTCTATAAGCCCATCCAAGACTGTGATGTTACTGAGTCCAAGTGTGGTGGCTTCCCTATCTTTGGTGGTAAAAAATTTGTTACAAAAATGTTTACAAATCTTTTCCATTTTTCTTGTTTGTTCTCTTATTTTTGTCCTTGAATGCCTTCTAGATGCTTGTTCAGTTGATCTTTTCACCAAGCTTCCTTTTCATTGGTTTTACCTCCTCTATTTCTCTCTGTTTTAGGGTTCTTTAGAAAGAAATTCATTCATGGATCTTATTTTTAGCTAACTGATAGTTTGGCACAACAGTGATTATGTGAAATCTTAAGCTACCTTTTCAATTTCTATGAACCACAAAAAAAGCACCAGGTCACCAAAGAAAAATTTTAAAGAATAAGAGAATGTTTAATTTATAACCAGAAAATCACTTAGTTATAATAGGAATAAACTGAATTCAATTAAGGAAGTTAGTGAATATTGTACTTCTGACCACTTCTCAATTATACCATTGTTACACAGTGGTATAAAATTACATTGTGGTGTTTATTTACTTGTTTGAAAAGAACTAAAATCTTAAAAACAAAACCCCAAAGAAATAGAAGACTATAAACCTTGTACTTTTCTAACTAGCATAAATGTGATCTCAAGTAGGCTCAAAGATTACATCTAAGTATTTAGCATTTCAAGCATTCCCAAACTATTAAAAGTACCTAAAGGATGGAATTCAACGTGTTTGAAAATTCTGAAAGGGATTAAGAGCATATACATATCACCCCTTGAAAAGTCAGTTTAAAGTGGCTCAGCCAATATAGCTAGAAGCCCATTAAAATATTGTCAACCATAAAGAATTCATATTTAAATTCCATTCACAAGTATTAATGCTGGAGGCATAAGAAATGAAGTCTAAGTTAAGTAAAAGCATCCCCAAGAGGGTTTAAGAATAGTTTAAAAGGCAAAGAATATTTCACAAACTACTTTGCAAAGCCCTTGATTTAAATTTAAGTTGCATTATTAATCCTTATATACAACATGGAATAGTTGTCAGCTATTGGCTAAAGAGTATCATAGCTCATGTCTCTTTTTAATTATTTGCTGCAGAAGCATCTGTTACCTACTTTAAAGGAATAAAATTCTAAGCATGCCTTTTCAAATACTCAGAATTATAAACTGTTAAATCTAAAAAAGGGGGCTCAGAGATTGTCTTACCTTACTAACTCATTTTACAGATGCTGAAACAGAAAACTTGAGAAATGAAATAAATTGTTCAAGCTCATGCAGCAAATTAGTGGCAGGATCAAGATTTTACTTATTTCACTTGATTATAGTTGAAAATGCCAACAAAAGATATTATCCCTTGATGCAAATATTAACATTAATGGGAATTCTTTAACGCATCCCTCTGAAGCACTAGTTTTACTTATTTCAACAATTTAATAGAACTCCATGTCCAGAATGATTTACTGCTATTTTTGCTTGATACTAGGATTTTTAAAAATGGCAGAGGGTCATGTCTATATCTGAAGTGGGTAAACACATGCACTCTCACATATTTCAAGTAGTCTCACTAATACCAGAGGATATTCCTCTGTCAGAATACATCTTCACATTTTCAAAATATTAACATTAAAATGAATAGGATACCACTGGTCATCAGAAAAACTTTTCAGGAAGGAAACTTACTTAGACTGCTTAACTGTCGTATGATAGCTGCCAGGGTACTATTGGTTACACATTCCAGTTCACTGGAAATCCCTTCTGGTAGCGCTCCTCGGCAGAGATGCCTGGGTTCAATGTTCCGCTTGACTAAAGGCATGGTTTACAATCTGCAATTTTAAAATGACATTTATGAACAACACTTACATTCACATCTTAACAAGCTAAGAATTATGGTACACTAGAAAATGATAAGCCTCTTAGAGCTAGGTGTTACCATATCATATCCAAAGTGCTAGGTAGGCCCAGGCTTAACTTGATAATATGATGATAATGTCTAAGCTCAGGATTGATTTTTTAAAAATACTTACACAGTACATTATAGTCATCAAGTACCATAAATCAGGAAATTTGATCCTTACAAGAACTCTGTGAGGAAATTAGTTGATATATGAGGAGAGGAGTGAAGGAGGGGAGAAAGAAAGGATAGGGCAACAGAGGTTGATAGACATAGACAAGGGGGGGAGGGAGAGAGGAGGGAGGAGAGAAAAAGAGAGAGAGAGAGAGAGAGAGAGAGAGAGAGAGAGAGAGAGAGAGAGTCAGAGTTCAAAATGGACATTTCTCATTTAGAGTCCAATGCTCTTTGTACTGGAACATATTGATGATGATTGAATCTTCACTGGCGTTCCTAAGAAGAGAGCAGACGTCTAAGTGTACAAACAGAATTGGGCAAACAATTTTGAGAAGTCAAAGAATAAGGTAAACAATTTCTCTTCAACAAATATACTTCAACAGTATAGGTTTGTCACGAACCCCTTGAGCAGTCTGGCGAAGCCTATGGATGCTTTCTTGGAGTAATATTTTTAAATGCATAAAACAAAATACATAGGATTACAAAGGAAACCCAAGATTAGTGAAAATAAAGATGTAATTTTTTCCCCACCCGAGTTCCTGGACTCCCTGAAATCTATCCATTCATTAGGTTTCTGAAATCTATCCATCCCCAGAGTAAGAACTCCTTCTCTAAAGAAATGTGCTGCCCATCCCAATATGCCAGCACTGCTCCACTAAGAAACACATTGGTGAAATAGCCTGGAACATTTGATGGTGTGCTACAACTTCATTATGCAAACAATTTAATGATCCCCAGACTGGCAGCCCGATATCCTTCATTGGTAACACATTCTTAAAATACAGTTTCTATTGGATTACTTTAAGACCTAAAGTCAGAATAAACTAATATCTGTATATTTACAAATATTCCATTGAATTATCTATCTCGTGTTTCCGATATAAACCTCACCTCATGTTGGCTCACTATCTATTCCTTCTGCACTTCAAACCCAAACATAGTCAAGTGAGAATAATTACCGAAGTTATTGAATACTTGTAATTCTAACTACTCTTCTAACCTCAGATGAGACAAGTAACTTTAAGATAAGAGGAAATGTCTCACCCAATACCAAGAAATGGCAAAGATGTTTCTTAATGTATATGAAAAGGTAAAGAGAGCAAAAGGGGACAAAAAATTAAGGAAGCCGTAAAATACACAAGTTACAAAGGAAAGGTTTACAGAACTGCAAGCTAATATTTTTTTCTTGAAGACATGCTGTATGATAGAACGATGTGCTAACAAGATATATTAGAATTCCATATTTGAAAGTGGAGAAAACAAACCACTGTTAAAATATATGGCAAACTGGGAAATACAGGTGAGAAAAATGCTAAAAAACCCAATAGGATCAACTCCATGACAACTAGAAAAAGTGTTAAGTGGGATTTTAAAAACTTGAGGATAGCACACAAGAGAATAATTACAGAGAAGGGCATAAAGTAAATGCTAAAGGTTTATGAGCAGAGAGGGAAAACAGAGCAAAAGACTTCTATGGTTGATGGATACCAGCTAATAAACAAGAGACTAGGCTAGAGCTCTGAGCCTGAGGTCAAGAAGACCTGAGTTGAAATCTAGTCATAAACACTAGCTGTACAACCCTGGGCAAGTCATTTAACCTCTGTCTGCCTCAGTTTCCTTATCTATAAAGTGGAGATAACATCTACTTTGTAGGGTTGTTGTAGGATCAAATGAGAATAACCATAAAACACTTAGCACAGTGAGTGGTACACAGTAGGCACTATATAAATGATAGCTATTATTACGAAGAATGAATGGCTGAATTTATCAGCAATCAGTATGTCATGGTAGTCTCTGAAAATGGGTTTCCTATAAAATGTCTTTTATTTTTGAGTTTCTCAAGTGAGACAATGTATGAAAAGCACTTTGCAGACCTATAAGCATGATATAATATAAATCCCAACTGTTATCATTAGGGATACAGCCTAGACTTGTGATATCACTGGAACAAGGAAGTCCTAGATGAGGAAGCTCCTTGTACTAATTCAGGTAGTGATTACCATCTCTGCAATTTATAGCTTGACAAGTGACCTAAAGCACCGAGAGATCAACTGACTTGACCAAGGTTGCACACCCAGTATGTTCTAGGTACAGGACTGAATCCACATCTTCCTAGTTCTGAGGCCAGCTCTCCAACCACTGTGACAGCCTGCTACCATCATCATCATCATCGTCATCATTATCATCATCATCATTTTATAAACACAGGTATTGATATCATGGGAGTAGGAGATACAAGTTTTTAGAGAGGTATTGTTAAGAAAGCTGAGTACAGAATTATTTAGCACAATCTCTTCCTCTAACATCCACCACATCACTAACATCATCACATTTAACATTCACTTTCAGTGTTTTCCAAAATATTCATAAATTTAATAGATCCCACCTTCCTCATTACACCCTGCAACCCATCTGTCAATCCTATGACCAATACATCCTTTGTGCATAACTCTATTAAATATAAAGTTGTTTCCTGACCAATTGTTCCTTGGTAATATGTAACTGCCTAATCTTGCCCATTTTGCCCTGTCCATTACACTTTTAATAAACTGCAAATTCAGTTCTTCATAAACAGTGGTATATTGTATCATTCACAGCCATACATCACTACTGGAAGAATTCTGACAGTAAGATGGGTGTGTGTGTGTGTGTGTGAGAGTATGTGTGCAAGTGCATGTGTACATACACATACATATGTTTGAATACAGACTTGAGCCAGAAAAGTGATATAAAAGATATCATCAGAAAAATTAATGACTAGAAGAAGAAACGGACTCATCATTCAGTAAGAGCAAGAGATACCTGAAGGATGGGCCAAATGCTTCATTGGTACCCGTACAACATCAGAAGATGTGGAGATGGATATCTAGCATTTTGGTTGGACTGAATATGGTAGGATGCCTATGGACACAGCCAAGAAACACAGGAAATTAAGACATGGTTGGGTTGGGATCTACACTAATGAAGCTATTATGCACATCAATGAGCTCCTAGATTTCATCCAAGTTACTGGCACATAATGGGAGTCTCACTTAGATGCCTTTACCTGGCACAGAGATGACCCTGGGTGTAATCAAAGCTATGTGAATGCCATACAAGTTTTCCAGGCTCCACCAATCAGGAAAGGCTCTGAATAGAGGCTACTGATAGGCTAGTGTGGGTTATGTTACAAGCCTCGGTAAGTTCTGAGAGGCTTCTCTCTAGAAGGTTAGTCCCTAAGTGTTGAATTTCTTTTTTTCCCTTTCTTTTGTTTTTGTTTTTGCTTAAAGAGCACAATTGAGGAAAATCATTTACAAAAGACTTAATAAGGTGGGGGGGGAGTGTCATTAACAATGACAAGATCATGGAACTTTAAAGCACTAAATTAAATATTTTTCAAGCATATGTATATACATATCTGCTCTTTGGCTACTCTGTATATCTCTTCTCCCCTCCTTTATCAGGACTTAAAGCCCAGAATGGTGCCACCTTCTCTATTCCTTGAAAGGTTCCTGACAATGTCCAAGCACAGGGAAGATAAAAGTGTTCAATCAGTCAGGATATTTTTTATGCCTGTCTTTTCCAATCCTGTGAAAGAGGTTTCTGAGTTCCTTCTTTAAAATCCCTAATTAATCTGTTAATTGCTTTCTCAGCTTTCCAATTAAGTGTCAAATGCTCTGAGAGCTGTTATTTATTGTTTCCCAGTGGATTGATTTTTTTCTGATATTGAGCAGAATTTTGAATAAACTCAGGAAAAAGTTAAAGCAGAGACATGTTGGATCAGCCTTTTCTTTTGAAAAAATGCTTTTCTATGAGAAAAATAGCATAATTATTAACAAAAACCTATACCCACAAGGGTTCACTGAGTAGAGTAATTTATTGAGAGAAAAAGAAGACATCGGCTCAAATTTGATTTTATGAGACCTAGGCCATTGAAATCATAAGAAAAAATCATTTTCAAATTCTAAAAGGAAAAGCAATACTCTTTTAAAATAAATATTTAATTAACACTCACTATATTGTGCTATGGTTTATTACAGTAGGCATTAGTTAATTTATTCAAAAGCATTTATTAAATGTCTACTGTAAGGCTAATTTTTTAAAAAGCAGTTCCTGCCCTCAATAAACTTGAATTCTACTAAGGGTAGGGGGACAACTTTATACAAATAAATTCTGGGTAGATCATGAAAACCTTATCTGGAAAATGGCACCAAACCTGAGTTTTGAAACATTTTAAGGAGCTGAGGTGCAGAGGGAATATGTTCCAGGCATGGGAGACAGATTGTACAAAATAAATGACAAGTTTAGATGACAGCAAACAAGTTAGTTTTGCAAGAATATAGACTATGTGAAAGGGGGTTGCATGAAATAATTCTGTAATAATAAGCTAGAGACAAATTGAGAAAGCTTTTAAATGAAAAGCTGGAAAATATGTAATTTATCTTAGATACAACAATAAGCCATTGCAGATTGTTGAAATTTGAATGCCACGGCTGGGCATGATTTAGAAAAATTATCTTTACAGTCAAGTGAGGGATCATTTGGAAAACTGAGAGGTGGGAAACCAAGGAGAACAATTAGTAAACTCATGTAATAGTCGAGGTAAGAGGTGATGAGGAGTTGAACTGGGTAGTATTGGCTTTATGTGTGGAGAGAAAGGGATTGTGTGGAAGGAGAAATGACAAAATTGGATAAGGACAATTGATTGGACAAGAAGAGTGGGAGAAAGTGAAAAGTAAAGATTGACTCCAAGGCTGTAAACTTGGTTGAGTCGGAAAA